ACGACTTTTTACGTGGACCTCATGATAGGCTGCATAGGAATCACATTGACTGTATCTGTAGAAGAAATGGTTGGAGCGGTTCAGTATTAGCAGTCAAGACTAGACCAGGAGCAGAGTATGGGTCAGACCATCAGTTACTCATGTGCAAGTTCAAATTGAGGGCAAAAAAAAATTTAAAACAAATCCATGAGAACAAAAATACAAGGAACTCATGCAATATTATTCAAAATGTGTGACCCTGGAGGACATTATGCTGAGTGAGGTATCTCAGTCATAAAGGGACAGATGCTATGTGGTGACACTGTTGTAGAATGAGGCTGACATCGAGGTGGGGGTAAGACTGAGAAAAACTGGATGAAAAATGTTTACGACATTGAAGTCTATGGGGGAGAGAATAGTTTAAAAGTATTATATTTTAGGGCATTATGTTTATTGTAAGAGTATGGAATGAGGGTTGCAGAGTGGATTATATTTGGGGTTGGGGGTGTGGTTGGGGGATGTGGGGGGGGGATTGTGTACCAATGGGGGAGTTTTTCTTTTGCTTTTGAAGGAGAGGAGCAAACAAGGGGGGGGGGAAGGGGAGTGGGTGGGAAGAAGGGTGCAACAATGAATAAATGGAATTCCAAAATCTCTGTAGATGTTCATTGAAATGAAAAATAAATAAATAAATAAATTTAAAAATAAAACCAAAAAACCTACAGTCTCGAATCTATTCCACCTGAATTTTAGAATCTCTTAAGAATAGGTAGGTTTGAAGCATTGAACATCAATGATTGAAGACCAGGAAAAACACTTCATGCTGGAAAAGTAAGGAAGACATTCAGTGAGTGAATTGGCATAATCACTGTAGCAGTGGGCTCGAGCATGGCAGAGATCATGAAGATAATGCTGAATAGGGAACGATTCAGAATTATTGTTCCTAGGATAGCTGTGATGATACAGTAGCATCATAGTGGCCTCTAGGCTACCTAACAACAGTTGCTTTTTGGTGGTTATGGAAAATACTGCCACATTGTTATCTTCTATCCTGTTCTAACAAGATGTTTTCCAAAGTGATTGTACTAGTAGTTCTTCCCATTAGAGTAGTAAGTAAAATATTGGGCTGCTAACCAGGAAGGTTCTCTGCTGATGTATTAGTCATTTTTGGATAGTTAGCAGGATCTTGTTTGTGTGTGATATTGTTCAATAATTTCCATACTCTGTTGGGTCACCTTTTTTTTGGATAGTAATAAATACAAATGTCTTCCAGTCAGCTGGCTGGGTAGTTGTCTTCCAGATTTCTTGTCACAACCTGGTGAGCGTGTCCAGGGCAGCATCTGTTTTTTGAAATATGTCAGCTGGTGTTCCATCAATTCCTGGGGCTTTATTTTTTTTGCCAAGTCCTTCAGAGCTGCTTGAACTTCCTCCATCACTATTGCCTTTTGGTCATGTGTAGTTTCGTGAAATTCTTTTATGTCAGCCAATTCTTCTTGGTATAGTGACTCTGTATACTCCTTTCATCTTCTTTTGATGCTTCCTGGATCATTCAGCATCCTGCCCTCAGCATCCTTAAGTATTGCAACTCAAGGTTTGAATTTGTTCTTCAGTTCCTTCAGCTTAAGAAATGCCAAACAAGGGCGTTTTTGTTTTATTTTCCAACTCCATCTCCTTGCACATTTCATTATAATAGTTTGCTTTGTCTTCCTAAGCAATCTGCCCTTTGAAAGCGTCTTCCAGCTCTCCTTAACTTCTTGATTTCTTTCCTTTGGCATTTCAGTGCTCTAGTGCAATATTCAGTGTCTCTTCTGACATCCATCTTGGTTTTTTCTTTCTCCTCTGTCTATGTAATGACTTTTTTCATTCTTCATATGGAAGGTGTGAAAGCTGGCTTTAGAAGAGGCTGTGGCAGTGGGAACATCATAGCCAAAGTTACATGCATCTTGGCCAAAAGCAGAGAGTACCAGAGGAATGTCTGTGTTTCATTGACTATGCAAAGGCGTTTGATTGTGTGGACCACTACAAATTGTGGCCAACTTGGAAGAGAATGGGGATGACAGAACACTTAATTGTGTTCATGCGAAACCTATACTTGGACCAGGAAGCAGTAGGGCCTGTCAAGAGAACAAACAGGTCTGTCCTGGAAAAGGCGAAAAAGTTGCTCTCTAGAGGCAAGGATTTTGAAGCTCTATCTGACATACTTTGGACATGTTGCCAAGGAGAGACTAGTCCTTGGAGAAGGACATCATGCTTGGGAGGTACAGCACAGGAGAGGAAGACTCCAGATGAAATGGATTGAATCAGTAACTGGAGTAATGGGGATAGGTTTGTCAGAGACCGTAACTCTGGCTTAGGATAGATAGGCAGAATTTAGAGCTCTTGCACATTGGGTTGCTATGAGTCATAGGTCTCAATGGCACATAACAACAACTGGAAAGTAACCTGGTGGCCTAATGATAAGAAATGTGTTGCAATCCCAAACGTATATGATTTGAATCCACCATCTGCTCTTTGGGGGAAGGATGGACAATCTCTTCCCATGAGATTTATAGCTCTAAAAACCTGTTGAAAGGTTAGCTATGAGTTGGTTCTGACTGGACAGCATACTACAGCAGCCACCAGCTGTTCTGCAGAAGAAAAGCGGACAGTCTCTTCCTATAAAGATTTACAGCCTTGTAAACCCGATAGATGCTTGCAGTGTTTATGAATCAACTGAGAGCAGCAGTGGATTTGGGAGTTAATTTGTTGGTCATCATCCAAATTGGCTGAAAAGGTCCATCTGTTAATGCTGATCGATAGTGAGATTTTTATGTGTTTTCAGCTTTGAAGGCTGATTCTGCCAAACACTGGTAATGGTCAACTAGTATATAATTTTAATTGAGCATCTTTATTGCTTGGTGGGCATTTGTGGAATTTTAATAGCTTCTCCTCTTGAGATTTGTCATTTACATTGTCATTATGCCACAAATTAATCACTTCCCATGAAAGGTTAAGTGGAGACCGCCTCAATTGGGCTGTTAAATGGATTTGGACTTGGAGTGAAGACCCTTTCTCCTTGCATTGCTATTAGTGCTGTCAAGCTTGTTGTGACTCATACTGCCCCTGAGTGTAATACAGTCAGACCTGTCTTGTCACTTATCATCTCACAGCCCCTGTGTCAGTCCCTCCCACTGAAGGTCTTCCCTTTTTTTGCTGACCCTTTGCTTTAATATCAAGCATGATATCCTTCTCCTGGGAGGATTGACCTTAAAGTTTAAAAAACCCAAACCTGCTAGAACTACAGCTTGAGCTTGAAAAATGTCTTTCACAAATTTGTGTGAAAATGAAGCTTTTGTTTCTGCTTCATCTCTGGACAGCGCAGGAAATATACAGTTATTTTAGTGGCAATGCTTGTTTTGAAAATGGTTTTATTTCATACAACAGCAGACATATTAGAGTATAATTTGATTATAGATAACACCAAGTAAAACAAGAGAATGAGGAAAATGGAACTGAGCCATGTAAGAATGTACAACACACACACGTGCGCGTGTGTGCACTTCTTTTTTTGGTCTGTCACAATTGTTATGAGTCATATCCATCCACATCTGGTGCTGTAACTTTCCTTTTGATTTCAGACAACTCCATTCTATCACATACCATAACTCAAAAACTATACCACTTCCAGCAAAAAAAGTTAACTTGAGTGAAAGAACAGGGCAGATCTTCCCTTTGTCATTGTCCCTGCTGTCTCTGCCACTCCTGCTCTGAGTTTTGTGGTTGAGGTTGTATACCATCGAATCAGAACAGAGCCCATAGCTTACCCTCCACCAGGTTTTCAGAGGCAGTAAATCACACCGGAGGATATTGACTCTCTTTCTCCCTCAAAGCAGCTGGTGGATTTGAACTACATACCTTTGCATTGGCAGCATGATTCCTTACCATTGAGCCACCAGAGCTTCCTGCTGTGAGTTACGGAAGAGGAATTAGTTTTGGTAGTTGAGCAATATCCTAAGTATAATTTACAGTTGGGTCATTATGTTCTACTTAGTCTTTCATGAAATGGTGAATTATTAAACTATTAAAAATATACTTTAGCAAAATGTGAGTATTATAATCCTATCATCTCCTAATATAACTAAGAATTGAGAACTTAGACTTTTAATTCAGTGAAGTGCCTTACAGTGTCTAAATCCAGAATATCTTTCAGGTAGTCTTGAGGGATGAAAATATCGTACTGAGTGGCTAGGTTATCTAGTGCTGCTATAACGAATACCACTGGATGACTTTAACCAACAGAACTGTACTGTCTTTCAGCTTAGGCAACTAGAAGTGTGGATTCAGGCCGCTGGCTATAGGGGAAGGTTTTCTTGTTTTTTTCTAGAGGAAAGTCCTTGTTTCCTTTCGGCCTCTGTAGGCGCAGCATTCCTTGGAGTTATCTGTGTGTCTTAGCATCAATCTTCCCCTGGACCTAGGAGCTTCATCACTTAAGGAGTCTGTCCTAAGGACACCCTCTGCTCCTGACTCTTCTTTCTTATTGGTACTGGGTTTTCTTTACCACTTGCTTCTTTCCTGTCTTACCTTTATCAGATAAAAGAGGCCTCATACCAGGGCAGTGCCACTCACATCAGATCAGAGCTGTGGTAGTATTAAAGATGCTGCATCCCATCTTTAGTTCTTTTATAGCTAACTGGTTTATCACGTCATGGGAGATCATCATGTAACTACCACATTACATCATTATATCCAAATTTTGAGAATTATATCCCTTCCAAGTAAACATGTATTTTGGGGTCACACATTTTAGTCCATGACACTGAAGTTTTTTGCTTTTAATTCTGGAAAACTTCGACTATGTAAGAATGGAGGGGATAGTGTTTGAACTCCCATTATACTCATTAATAATGATCTCATAAGCAATTTGGTTTTCTTTCATCTCCCCTATGCTTATTGTTTGCATTGTGCTGCTTTTTTAAAAATTGGAAATGCTGTTCCCCGCCCCCCTCCCCCCCCCAGTCTAAGCATTTTGGAAGGGCTTTACAAAGGAATTTGCATCATAAAAAATCAAGAAGTAAGGACTATGATGCATATAGCGATGACAATGATGTCTGCAATGAGGAATCAGAAGATAATTTTGCTGAAGAGCTTAAACAGTATATACAAGCCAAAGAAATGGCAAATGCCCCTGAGCCTTCACCATTTCCTAAAGAAACTGCAACAAAAGAGAAGGCAAAAGATACCCAGAAAGGTATGTGTCCTACTATTTTATTTATCTAGAGAAGAACTATAGTTGTTCGTATATGAATAAGATCACAGTTTTCATACATTCACACCAGTTATGAGCTTATATCACCTTGCAACCTCTAGTCTGAGAACTAACTGCTAATTCAGCATCGTTAGGAGTGAGGATGGTAATCAGAATTCATAAGGACTTCTGATAAGATGATGCCAAATCTCTTGCCTGTTTGTGCTCCTCTTATTTAAGGTGGTGGTTGTTGTGTGCTGTCAGTCAAAACCAATTCATGGCTGACTCTCCAGTGGATTTTCAGAGGCGTTTGATGGCACAGGACGTGTTTCTTTCACAGAGCAGATGGTGGATTCGAACTGCGTGCTTTTGGCATCTCAGCACAGTTTCCTACCACTAGGCCACTAGAGTTTGATTTAATTGATCTTAAGGATGATTGAATGTATATCACACTGTAACTTAGAAATATGTTTTTCTAGACTCCTAAAATGAGATTTGCTGTTAGATACAAAAGCAAATGGTGATTATACTGCCAACCCCTCTGCTCTCAAAGTGTTTCTGCTTCTTAACTAAATGCCTACAGACTTACTGTATAAAATGAAAAAATCGGACAGTTCATTGGTTATTGTTACTGTGTACCATAGGCTGACCCTTTGTTAGGTTTTCAGAGGCAGTTGATCACATGGGAGGAGATTGCTCATCCTATATTGATTAAATATTTGAAGCTTTTGCTATGGTGCTTTGCATTTCCTGATTAGATCCATCATAACTCTAAATGTTTCAGAAAGTTCTGAATATTAACTGTAACGAGATTGATTTAATTAATTTTGGGGGTCTTTTTTTCTGGGCATTGCTTTATGTAGTTTCAAAAAGAATGAATCGTTAATCTAGATTGTCTTCAGAATTTTCAGTTTGGTGTCTTAATCCCAGAGCTGCTAGAGTTTTCACTCATTAGTCTGTGCAGAACTTTTCCAAGTACCTTGTTTTAAAGAGAAAACAGATATTCTGTTTTTGTATCATTTAAAATATTAACTTTCTGTCTTTAGATGTTACACAAAAAAGTAAAAACTTTAAAACGTGCCATAAGAATGGTAAACAGAAGAAAATGAAGCGAAAACGAGCTGGCACTGGAAACAAAGAATCAGGTGCTTTGTTGAGAAACATTGGCTCCCAGGACTTGGTATGAGAACATAAATGTAGAACACCTACATGCTCTTTGATGTCCAGGAAGGACTGGGTGATGTAGAGAGGTCAGGAAGAGCTGGATGACATGGAGGGATGAGGAAGGGCTGGGTGACAATGAGAGGTGAGGAAGGGCTGGGTGACATGGAGAGGTGAGGAAGGGCTATGTGACGTGGAGAGGTGAAGGGCTGGCTGGGTGGGTGACGTGGAGAGGTGAGGAAGGGCTGGGTGATGAGGAGGGGTGAGGAAGGGTTTTGTGACAATGAAAGATGAGGACGGGCTATATGATGTGGAGGGGTGAGGAAGGGCTGGGTGACGTGAAGAGGTGAGGGCATCCTTCAAGTTGAGGCTGTTGACTTACACAACTCTCACTCTCGCTGGCCTCGCCATGTCCTCCAGCTCAGCACTGCAGCTGCTTTCCCACTTCTGTCATAAGTCCGACCTGTGTGTTGTCCTTGTGCCACTATGCACATCAACTACTGATTTCTGTATTCTGCTGTTCATAGTTGTGAAAATACAGGGAGGTAGAGACTAGATTTTAAAAAAACATAAGCATGTTTAAAGGGCACCATTGCAGTCCTTGGTCTATTGGTTGATGACTCCCTCTGAAAATGAAAAATGACTGTTTCTGAGTATTGGTGCTACTAAGTGTCCCATAGACCACCCTCTTAAATTTTGGTTTATAAGCAACTTTCTTGGATTTAAATTTTCTGAAGACTTCCAGACTCAGATTAGTTGGCAACCTTGTCATTGGGCTCAGTCACAAAAATTTAAATCTTAGACATAAAGAATAAGTTAGAGGAGTCATTTTTGCATGTTTTTAAGATGGTTTAAAACAAGACTTTGGATTGATTTATTCTGGTTCTTCTCTTTGCTGAGAATTTGCATCTATTCCAGTTAAACTGACTGAGTCAGTAGTTTTATACTGATTCTTATGTAAGAAGGTTTAAAATATGATTTTGTACAATAGCATAGGATATGTAATATTCTACTTCTCACATTTGTTTGTAATTATTATTTTGCTTCAAAGGATGGTAAACCCGAAGAGAAGCAACAGTGTGTGAGAATGAGTCAGGGATTCATCAACCAGCACACAGTGGAACGGAAAGGAAAACCAGTTTGTAAATATTTTCTTGAGAGGAAATGTATTAAGGTATGGAATACATGAAGTGTAAAAAAAAAAATTTGTTAAAATCCAACTGCTATTTCTGTTTGAAACAAAAATAACTTTGTTGTTAGGCACTATCAAGTCAGCTGCCACCCTTTGAGCAACAGATCTAAAGCTTGCCCTATCCTGCACCATTCTCATGATTTCTGATGTGCTCAAGCTCACTGTTACAGACACTATGCCAGTCTGTCTCATTGAGGGTTATCTTTCTCTGACCCTCCACCTTTCCCAACATGATGTCCTTTTCCAAGGAACAGCTTAACAACATATTCAGAGTGTGTGAGATGAAGTTCACTCTTCTTGCCTCTAAAGAGCACCCTGGTTGCACTTCCTTCCTCAAATACATTTGTCTATTCTTTTGGAAGTCCAGGGATATTCCATATTCTTTTCTTTTTTTAAAAAAAATTTTTTTCATTAATTTTAATGACCATTTACAGAGATTTTAGATTTCCATTCATTCATTGTTGCATTTTCCTCCCTTGCCCCCCCCATTCACTCTTCTATTTGAAAAGTAAAAGAAAAACTCTTTCATTGGTGTACAATCCCACTGTACCCCCCACAGTACACTCCACTATGCAACCTTCATTCTGGACTCTCTGATAACCATAATACCCAATCATATATAGCCTTTAAACTGTTCTCTCCCTCATCTGTTTCAACGCAGTATACATATTTTATCCAATTTTTCTCATTCTCACCCCAACCCTGATGTCAGTCCCGTTCTACAACAGTGGAACTATGCAGTATTTGTCCTTTTGTGACTGAGATATTTCACTCAGCATAATGTCCTCCAGGGTCACCCATTTTGAATAATATTGTATGAGTTCCTTGTTTTTCAATGGAGCGTAGTATTCCATTGTTTGAATATACCACAGCTTCTCTATTCATTCGTTTGTTAATGCGCACTTAGGTTGTGTACAACTGTTTGCTATTGTGAACAAAGCTGCAATAAACATGGGTGTGCATATATCTGCCTGGGTGACAGTTATGGTTTCTTTTGGGTATATTCCCAGTAATTGTTGGGTCAAATGGTATTTCTATTAGCAACTTACTGAGAAAGCCCCATACAGCCTTCATTAGGGGTTGCACCATTTTATACTCCCACCACTGTTCGGATTCACTGTTGAATAAGGGTTCCAGTTTCTCTGCAACCTCGCCAGCATTTGTTGTTTGCTGCTCTGTTATATTTTGCCATTCTTACTGGGGGTGAGATGATATCTCATAGTTGTTTTGATTTGCATCTCTCTTAATGCTAGGGATTTTGAACATTTCTTCATGTGCTTGTTGGCCATCTGAATGTCTTCTTTGATGAAGTGTCTGTTCATATCCTGAGCCCATTTTTCAGTTGGATTGTTTACCTTTATCTTGTTGTGTTGCTCAAGTATTTTATAAATTCTAGATAGAAGTCCCTTATATGACGTCATTACCAAATACTTTTTCCCAGTCTGTGGCTTCCTTTTTTATCCTGTTGGAGAAATTTTGGATGTGCATAGGGATTTGATTCTTAGAAGGTCCAGTTCATCTATTTTATCTTTTCCTGGTTGTAGATTTTTTTTCAGGATGCTTGGATGACTATTTGTGTTGTGGATTAGAACTTCTAGAGTTCTTCCAAGCTTTTCTTTAATGATGTCTGTAGTCCTTGGCTTTAGTCCTAGGTCCATGATCCACCTGGAGTTGGTTTTTGTGTATGGAGTGAGGTGTGGATCTTGTTTGAGTTTTCTGCAGGTAGTTTTCCAATTTTGCCAACACAATTTGTTAAAAAGGCTGTTGTTTCACCACTTAACTGATTTCATCTCCTTGTAAAAAATCAGTTGACCATAGGTAGATGAGCTGATTTCTGCGTCCATTGATCTATATGTCTGTCCCTGTTTTTTGTTTGTTTGTTTGTTTTATTTTATTATTTTTGTGTGACTGTACTGTCAAATCAGATCTGACTGGTACAGGAGGAGACTGCTCCTCCTTCCCCAGCAGAGCATCTGGTGGATTTGAACTGTGTACCTCTGGGATTGTAATTGCAGCTCCTTGCCACTAGGCCACCAGAGCTCCCCTATTTGTCTGTCATTGTACCAGTACCATGCTATCTTAACCACCACAGCAGTGCAGTAGGATTTGAAATTAGGAAGTGAGATGCCTCCTACCTTTTTTCTGTTTTTAAGGAGTGCTTTGCTTCCATATTGTTTTCTAATACCACAGTTCAAGGCATCAATTTTTCTTTCATCTTTATTCCTTTTCCAACTTTCAGATGCATAGAAAGTAATTGAAAAGACTCTGACCTGAATCAGATGCACCTTAGTCTTTAAACTGATATTCTTACACTTTAGCATTTTTTTAAAAATTTGTTTACATACAAATTTTTTTTTCTTTTTTACCTCCAAAATTTCGTATACATTGCATTTCACACAATTCTTCATTCACAGTATTTCATACAATCATTCTCATGCATCATGTTTCATAAAAGCAGTCACCATTGGACCTTGCCCATCTGTATTTTCTCCTGGCTCCTTTCCCTTTCCTTGCCCCTCCTCCCTTAACACGTTGCTGCAGATGACGGTAATACATCGAAGAAGGAGAAGAAGAAAAAAATGTTTCTAAGCACAGTCGTCAATTTAAAAGTGTACTTGTTAACCCACCAAACTCTGCAACCATGTGGTTTTGCTCCTCCCCATCCTCACTGCTCCGCTCCCACCCTTTTGCCCCCTCTTCAGTCCCCATGCATAGTTTACTTGCTGTTTTTCTGTTTTTACAATAATGGTCTTATGTAGTATTTGTCCTAATGTGACTGCAATTAATTCACTCAGCTTAATGCTCTCCAGTCCTTCCCAAGTTACGTAGCATTTTCCAAAATCGTTGCTTCTGTATGCTACATGGTATTCCATTGTGTGAATATACCACAGTTTCTCAATCTATTCTGTTGTGATTGAACATTTGGGCTGTTTCTACTTTCTTGTGGTGGTAAATAATGCTGCTATGAACATTGGTGTACAAGTCTCCATGTGAGCCTCAGTTCTTATTTTCTCAGGGTATATTCCAGGCAGTGGAATAGCTGAGTCATACAGAGTTTTATGATCAGTGTTTTGAGGAAGCGTCAAACTGTTTTTCAGAGTGAAAGACAATCCCACCAACAGTGTGTGTGAGTTCCCACCTCTTTTATATCCTTTCCAGTATTTGTGGATATCAGAAGAAACTCTGAAGATTGCACTGGAGCATAGAGAAGCCAAAGCATAAGGAAGAATTCAAGATA